ATGTAATTGGTAGGATAAACAATATACATAAAAAAGTAAACACTGATTAACTTTTTTTACACTACATAAAAGCAAACCAATTTATACAGTTCGTTCTGTTTTTTCACTGTAAGGGTGTTATTTAAAAAAAAAAAACCCTAAATTATTCCCTCACTCTTACACAAACCTCCTTGATGTGAAAGATGCGCATTTTTGTGGAAATTTGTACTGAACAGTCGCTGGTATACTTTAGAGGAGAAGTTTAGAATTTTAGAAACGCTTTTTAAATGCTTACTCTTTAGATTCTAAGTTAATCTGAATAATGCAAAAAAAACAATAAAAAATAATAATTTAACTTCAAGTAAAATTAAATTAAATCAATAGCTAAACAGGACGAATAAACATCATTGCAGGATGTGACTGTGGTTACTGAAGTCTCCAACAGGCGTCACCACAAAATCGACAATGCTTCCAACTTCTAAATAACAGCCAATTGATACAGCATCCTTCAATTAAGTAGGGTGCCAACTGACTTTAATCATAAGTCGAGAGTTGTTACAATCTATAATAGAGCAAGCACCTTTCAGAAGCTACATGCAACATGGTCTTAACTGCTTGCACTCGCACTCATCGCACACTTATCATCCAACTTGGTCTACAGTTGCTTCATGGCCCACACTTCTTACATGAAATTAACAGTAGCTTTTGCAAGTGTATTGCTTGAATAGTAGGCCACTAAACAATTCCATAGTAGTATCTCTGATTAGTTACAGCGAAGCCCTGTCCTTTGCCCTATTTTTTACTGCTCATTTCGCGTCAGTCGGCCGGATCGTGGTAGATCGGTCTGGAAGGAGGATATACGGGTCTTAGCCGTATCGTTCTTGTTTGCTATTGATGATTCATTTAATTTTAAAGAGTAAGTCAATAATGTTTCTGTAATATGCATATTTTTGATTAGACTAGCCTGGGTCAAACCTAAGTTAGTTTGACCTTCCTGACCAACAAAGGAATGATGATTTTGACGTAAGGTTATTTCGGCTCGTTCACTCTCTCTCTCTCTCTCTCTCTCTCTCTCTCTCTCTCTCTCTCTCTCTCTCTCTCTCNCTCTCACACTCACTCTCTCTATCTATCTATTTACCTATCTCTATCTATCTATCAATATATCTATCTCCCTCATGTTATTTCTCTCCCTCTGTCAACCTCTCTCTCTCTCTCTCTCTCTCTCTCTCTCTCTCTCTCTCTCTCTCTCTCTCTCTCTCTCTCTCTCTCTCTCTCTCTCTCTGGCTCTCTGTCTCACTCTGTCTCTCCCTTTCTATTCCCAAAATAATGCATCTCATGCATGCATGAAGGTCTCCCTAAGGAAAAAACGCGTAGACCAAACCACTCTAGATGGATTGGAGAAATGCTAAGAACTAGAAGAGCTCAAACAAATATAGGACCAGACACTATAGAAGTTAGCACAACCAAAGGATGTCCTCAAGGAGGGTACTGTCACCTTTTCTATGGAGCCTAACAGTTGATGAACTGCTCGAGACTCTGGACCGCAAAGGGATAAAATGTCAGGGTTATGCGGACGATATAGTCCTGACTGCCAGGGGAAAATTCGAGGAAACTCTCCGTGACATAATGCACAAGGGACTAAAAATTACAGAAGAATTGTGTAAAACCGCTGATTTAGGAATCAACCCTAATAAAACAACCATAGTCGCTTTTACACGGAAAAGAAAACTAGATCATGTGAGGCAAATAACATTCAATAACACTGTAGAAGTTGTGTAGTAGTTGTATTTTGTGATAGAAATAAAAAAGAAGTCAAATATCTGGGCATCACTCTAGATAAAACACTGGCATTTAAGAAACACATCGGCTCTACCACGAAGGCGACGCGAGCTTTGATGGTGTGCAGAAGAATAGCAGAAGGAACTGGAGATGCAGACCGGAAACCCTGCTTTGGATGTACACCATGATAGTAAGAAACATACTTACATACGGAGCTATAGACTGGGCTGATAAAGCAGATCAAGTAACTAAAAGAAAAGAACTCACAAAAATACAGAGACTTGCATGCATTTGCATAACGGGAGCAATGACAACATGTCCTACAATTAGCATGGAAAAGTATTGGGATTAATCCCCCTTCACCACATGGTAATAAGGACAGCGCAGAAAACCATCATTAATATTATCAAAGAGAAACCTCCAACAGGAATAAAACTAAAATGGAGAGACAGCAACAAATTATGGAAAGACCATCCTATACTCATGGCTCCGAGAGACGACATAAACAGGATGTTTGAATTTAATCAAAACTTCCAAATAAATCTAGGTACCAAATAAGAATGGGAACGAAAGGGAAACACCTCTTTTAAGAATAGCACCATCCTTTGGTACATAGATGGATCTAGAACACAAGAAGGTACCTGGGCAGGAGTATTTGGACCTGGAACCAAATACTCAGAAACCATGGGAAAATACACCAGCAACTTCAAAGCTGACATTCACGCAATCGAAAGATGTACCCATCTCAACCTAAGTAAATGGTACAAAAACAAGAATATAGCTATCATGTTATCATGTCAGATAGCCATGCAGCCATGAAAGCACTAAGCTCAAATATCATTAGTTCAAAGATGGTGCTGAACTGCAAAACCAAATTAAACATATTAGGTACACAGAACAAAGTCAGCCTCTGCTGGGTCCCAGGACACATGGGAGTAGAAGGCAACGAGAAAGCGAAACGCCCTTGCAAGGCCAGGAGCTGCTACACCGGTGACAGGACCTGATCTGTGGCATAGGAACCTGCACTATTAACGAGTATCTCAGATAGAAGTACAAAAAGAAAATTAATGAACAATGGAATTCACTCATTGGACCCAGACAATCCAAGAATCTTCTAACGAATTTCGGAAGAAAAGAAATTACAGAATGTGTCAAGGGAAGCAGGAACAAACTGCGAATCCTAATAGGATTCCTAACAGGACACTGCAAGTTAAATGGACACTTAAAGAAGATTGGAATAATCCAAGACGGCTCATGCAGATCCTGCAAAGAGACAGAAGAGAGGCCAACACATCTACTAACGGAGCTACACTTGGCCGCAGAAGGATGTGTTTTGGGATGTATAATGTGACCATAGAAGAACTTCAACCACTGAAACCGGGCCTATTAATCAAGTTTCTTGATGAAATAGGACTCACCAATGTGCTTTAGACAGAGTACGGGGGATACAATAGCCTTTAAAGGGCGCACTATACTACACACCGAAAATTATATATACATCTTCTATTCCCAGTCACAGTCTCTCTCTCTCCACAGCAGTAAGTACTACAACTTACGGGGATATGATTATACAGTTCTGCAATACCATACGCCATTAGAATGTGTCCCTCGTTATTATTCTCAGTATCTTATTCTCACTCTCTCTTTCCTTCTCCAACCCCCTCCCACTCAATAATTAGTATCTTTATTGTCATCAGTGCAGAACCCTTTATTTTCCTCTCTCATTTTCCCCTTCAGTCTCACTCACTCTCATTATGGTAACTATACCAAATACCAGGTAACGAAAGCAGTAAAGGATTAAAATTTATTGCGGCTATACAGTTCTGCTATGTATTACGACATTAGTATCCATCATTTTATTAGGCTTGAAGTACTCGATATTTCTTCGTCAACCTATACGCAAAATACACTTTCAATCTAATTGAGAGTCAATGAGATAGTCAATCCTTAATGAGGCTTCCCACGCTACCCATTAAAGATAATAATAACATAATCTAACGTTTAACCCAAAAGTATTTAACTAAACATCAAAAATCGGAACTTGGAACCAATAGTTGCCATTTTTACTCAAACACAATTCTCATATCGGATGACGTCACTACTCGCTATATACAGGGTGTTACAGAGTTAAATGTCAATATTGCCATGGTGGATTCACTATACAAAGTGTCATCAGAACGAGGTTTCTATTTTCCCTCTTTCCTGAGATATTAACATTGTGATTTAACACTAAAATCAGATTTTTTTACACAAAATCGTAATTTCTCAACGCGTCATTAAATTACAGATCTGACCTTTATTTTGCAAACTACATTAAATTTTCCCCTAGACAACATTTCCGTTGAAAATTTGCGCTTCTGCATAGACAGTAACCGCTCAAAGAATAACAAATGGAAAAACCCACGTGTTTTTGGAAATACTCAATTGTGGATCGTGCAAAGAGTTTTCATCAAGCTATTCGGAAATTTCACCATAGTTGCCTTATTTTATAAGTATTCCAAGGACATGCTCACTTTTACATTTTTCAGAACTTTTCTTAGTGTAACCCCTTTTGCAATTTGAAACACGTGATATTGAACCCAAGAATATCATACATATCATATTTTAATAAAACATTAATTAGTTAGTAACAAAAATCAGATCCATTATTCTTATAATGTGTACTTAATTAAAGAAGCATTAGAATTATGTATTCATGAAAATGGAACGTCATTAAAGTATGCATTTTTTTCAAGTTAACTGATGTATTGTTCGAAATGCTTTTCTTCAAATTGGATACACAAGCGCGAACGTAGAGCAACTGAAGTGACTGCATGAAGGACCTCTTCCATTATTTTCCTCATGTCATATCACATGATTTCAATTTCTCTATGAGCTGTTCTGTCATTTCAATGGGTGTGCAGTACACTGCAATCTTCAGAATTCCACATTTGACAAAATCTATTGGGGTCAAATCAGGGCTCCTCGCTGGCCTTGCCAGGAGAAAAAGTATGTAATTTTGGTTACCAACTAATAATAAATGTTTTTATTTATCTGACATATACGATTCTCTTGTGTTGCTGCTTTTTTTACACAGCAAGCTTGGGTTCGATATCATGTTTTTCATCCATGCAATGCCAGCATCACTTGTACCAATTATAAGTGATTTTATTAATAATCCAATATTTTATTAATTTATTTGTAATTGAAAAAATTCAAACAAAGTCTTAAATAATTAAATTTTATCATTTTTTTTATTTCAGAAATTGACGAGGACTTTGAGATTCTTCCAACGGCTGCAACGGAGGATTTGTCAGCAGCTGACTCTGCATCGCTAAGCCCGTCTCTTTTGTTGATCCCTGTCCTATTCGTCTTGAGCTGATACGTCTCCCTAGTTCGTCTTAGTTTAAGCGGAATGCTTTCGTGGAACTCTGTTGGACTGTAAATATTGTGCCCCGAAATCGCGACCATTCGCAACGGTTGTGTAAATAAATTATAAATATGATGAATAAAGTATGTATGTATGGAACGCTTAAAAGAGCCTGTATGTATTGTTGTTAAAAATTAATCAGAAATATTGTAAAATTTTCTGAATAAATGTTAAAACGGAAGTTTAATATTTGTTTGTTTTTTTGCCATGAAATATATTAAGCAAATTAGCCGGATTTGTTTGTAGTGACTGACTGATTTTGATTTGTTCTCTACACCTCTGCATTGCGAGAAGAAAATAATGCCAAGAAAACTTCATGATGACATCCATTGAAAGGGTGAGGCGAGATAGGAAGGGAAATAATTGGATAAGGTGTAATTCAGCTTTAAGTGATGGAAGGTAAAAAGTTGCTAGCCTATTACGGGAGGTGATGTCAGATAAACAATCCCGTACTCCTCTTTACGGTATAATCAAGTAAAAGCGCGAAGGGATGTTTGAGATTAGATTTACGTTTATGGGCCCCCGAGGCTCTGTTAGCTGCTTCGGAGTTATGACCCCTCCCACAGGCACGAGCGCATCAACAGGTCGGACCGTGTTTGACCGTAATACATACTCCGCCGCTGTTTGCCCCCATGCCGTCATATAGCAGCGGCCCTGTTAAAAACCTCACGGCCGTTTAGTCCGTCTCGCTAAATTATCACAAGTGGGCCCATAAAATGGGAGAATTACAGTCGTATCTGAGTTCTCCGTTTTACAAGAATTATTAACAACCAGCTGCAACTCAGAGAAATATTGTTGCAAAATACGTCAAGTGAACAATCAGAAAAAAATTCATACCATTGTTCGTAATTCCATTTCAAGGACCATTTTCTCTGATGTTCATATAGAGTAAGGTATAAACAATGTGGTAAAATACAATTAACTTATTGCTTACTATGTACCAATCTTTCATGGCACGTTGTTCTATTTTCCCCAAACTAAGCCCGAATATAATCGTTTTCCAAATCGCCATCTCTTGACTTTCATTAAAATGAAACTTTTTTACATTTTCTTCTAGAGCGAATTCAACCTTCTATTTCAGTGTTTCGAAATACGTGTCCCGAAACGAGAATCGAATTTCCTGACAAATATATATATATATATATCTATCGTTATATATAGCATTTTTTCGACTATAATGACAACATAATACAGGGTAGTTGCGTTAAAAAAATTCGATGAAAGTACGCCTAAAGTAGAATAGAATGCCGTAAATTTCATGGTTTTATCTCAATCCGTTCAAAAGTTACGATTTTTTTAGTGTTTATTTAAGATAAACACGCGTCTTTACCGATAACCTGAATTTTCTCCACTCTAACGTAACTTTTTCCAATTCTTGACCCAAAGTTGAGTTTTACATCGCATTTCCTTTTAGATTAGTCCACTTTTGTTCTAAAAATGACCAGTCTACTTACAAAATAACTGCACAAATATCATGCAGTTTAAAAATGTGTTACGTTTTATTCTAAAGAACATTTTTGTTTCTTCACTAATAAATTTTTTCAAAATGTATTTGGAATATTAATTTACATGCCGAATCAATTCTGGGGCCAGGCATTTAATTCATAGGATGCGTACCGGACGACGTTTGCCTAACATCCAACAGAAATTGCTCTGAAATCAAAATAACCGAAGTTTCGAATAGAACATTGGAAAGCTCATAAGCTGTTGAAGGTTTTAGCTTGTTTGACATTTTTAAAACCGCAACGTAAGGGAGCTACTGTTTAAAGATGTTAATACATAATTACCATTTTGCCCATTTCACGTTTTTTTGGAGTGATTTTGGAACTAAACTGGCAATGTTTTTAGAACAAAAGTGGACTAATCTAAAAAGAAATTTGTGTATTTCTTAAGGAAACGCTATAGTAATCGTAACTTTTAAACAGATTGAGAAGAAACCATGAGGCTTACGGCGATCTATTCCACTTTAGATATGCCGTTACATATTTTTTTAACATGGCGAGCTGACCTCACAATACTAATCAAATTTTTATAAACCGATCGTTAAGTAAATCCTTGGTCTTTTCTGCCCTTTAAACAAATGTCAAATAACATTAAAGATTTAAATTACAAATCAAAATTTTAGGGAATAAAAAGCGTTTTGGGGATAAAACTCTTGTAGGTGATGGTTGCGCAACATCTTGATAATTTACTGTTTTAAATGACGGTCACTGGGATTATTTATAATATTTGAATGAGGGTACCTAAAAAACAAAAAACCTCATCAACAAATATTGTTGTTTTTTGAAATCTACAGCAAAAAATTGTCTATAATATGTATTAGCAGTTTAAATTGAATAACTATTTAAAAAATAGATACCACTATTATTAAAAAAAATAATGTTTTTGATAAGTATATAATGGGTTAGAAGAACTTAAATGGTTTTTGAAAATTGATTTATTAAAGTATAACAGGTAGGAATTGACACGAAACGAAAATGCAATTTATTAATTAATCAACTCTTAATTTGAACGCTTGTAAATACCAGTTATACACTGTAACAGAGCTCGGTTGTTTTTTGCGTTTCAACAAATAAGGGATTTTTAACCAATTTGTTAATAGCAGTAAACACGTCGAGCGGGCCACTTTTTTCTAAATAAAATCAGCTATGTTAAACTTTGTTTCATTTAAAAACCCCTCGCTTTTGTTTTTACGGTATTTACTTCACGATTTTTTATCCGCGTGAGAATTCAACAAACCTGGCTAATAAAAAACATAATTCCATAATTAATATTTTCAAAATCTGACTTATTTTTTAAATTAATATAACCGCCGTTTGACAAGAAATAATTGTAGGAGTAGAAGAAATAGTAAGGTTTTTATTTACCAAAATTGGTCCCAAACGAAGAAAAAATCGTGAGAATTCAATATGTGATTAAGGATGGCGGTTGAAATTTAGGTAGTTTCATATTTTCATATACAGGGTGTCCTTTTTAGATAGCGCGGCTGTATTTCTCTTGAAAAAATTACCCAACAAAAAACAAACAATACGTTAAGATAGTTTCAAATGTTTACCTTTTTTTGCAGAAAAATTATACAGGGCACATCAATCCTAGTTCAACTTCAACATTTTAAGTAAGACCGTATACATCATTTTAAAGGATTATTTACTCTGAAAACAATGGTGTGATGGAATTTTAAATTGTTCAAAAAAAGTCGAAATTATGCAAAAAGTATGAAAAAAACTAATTTCGTTTGTTTTGTGGTTAATTCCAATAATTTGCTTCTTTGTATAGTAGTAAATATTAATTGCATTTATTGTTTACATTCTGCCATTGTTTGTCGAACTCGCATTATGAAAGCAAATCATAATTCTTGGTAGTAAATTAACTTTACAATAGAACCTATTCGTTACATTCAGTATTCTATTCAAAACGAACGGAAGAATACATTTTTCCAATCAACAGCGAGTTAATATGTACGACGGCTTTGTTGATAATGGTAGTATTACTAGTAGTGCAGTCGAGTTGTACTACCAGAAACGTCCTGATCGCCACAAAACGTTTACTCGTGTTGCTCACAATATGAGTATATACGGATCAGTTGCTGTTCCATCACCCAGAAACCGGCGGCATAATTTCGACGAGGAGCTGAATATTTTACTGTATATTCGCGAAAATCCGAATTCCTCTCTCCAAAATGTTGAAAGGGTTTTAGGTTTTGCAAAAAATAAAATTAGAGATGATAATTTTAAGCTATATCGCTCTCATCTTTTCTAAGGACTTCGGGACTATTAGGAGAGGGGTCAAAGTTTCTTTGCACAAATGTGTATTTGGGAGGATGAAGAAAACGTTCTTCCATACATCCTGTCGACTGATGAATCCAAGTTCGCCTCTATGGTGTACTAAACATTTGAAATTTTCGAACGTGGGCAGAGGAAAGTCCGAGAATTTCGTACTTTTGTCATCATTAGGTGGTTCACTGTATCAACGTTTGATGTGGACTTTTCGGAAATTAATTTGGCCTTATTTCAATGTAAACAGTTTAAAAGGTAATCAGTTCCTCAATTTTTTATGGGAGGTTTTATTGACACTATATAATGATGTTCCTTTGCAACAACTACTATGAATGATTCTCCAGCTTGACCACTGCCTCGGACACAATTCTTTGCAGAGGAGACGTTATTTGAATCGTCCAAATGGCCCGATCTGTTGGCCTCCTCGGTCAGCCGAGTCTATCTCTCTGAGCTCCGGTGAACAGTGGTTAAAAACAGCAAATCATTACATCTTTACGCAAGGTGGCAGTTCATCGAACATAAAATGTGCTTAATAAATAGCAAACGAAATGACTTTGTTTTAACCTTTTTCTACAACTTCGTCATTTTTGACCAATTTAAAATCCAATTGCTCCATTGTTTTCAGCGTAAGAAATCCTTTAAACTGATGCGTATGGATGTATAGGGTCGTATTTGAAATTTTGAAGTTGGCTTGAGATACCCTGTATAATTTTTTTTTTTTCAAAAAAAAGGTAAAAATTTGAAACTAGACTAAAAAATATTAAGCCCCTTTGTTTTCTTTTTTTATAGCGTCATTGGTTCAAGAGAAATTCAGCGGGCCATCAGAACAGGGCACCCTGTATATCACTTCGATCTGTCAGTTGTTTTAGTCTATCAGACGCATTCCCCCATCTTATTTAACTGATGTCGCTAATTTTTGTGCAAATGTAGGAAGCAGAAACAATTCAACGGTAGAAATGCGCCTGTCAGACACACAGAAATGTTCGGAAACAATTTGTGTAATAGTTGGATATATGTGTCTGTGTGGGCGGTTTAGGTCATCTCTTATGGCGGTGGCTAGTTGTCTCTTATGGTTGGTTTAGGTGTGTTATCGTGAGTGGATTTGTTTTGTATCACCTGTTGTGATAGCGATCCCAAATGTTTCTGAAGTATAGACAAAACCAAAATGTTCGGAAACGACAAAAAATTGTGATTAATACTGCATGCATTGTTTGGGATTGGTCAAAGATTCACATTAAAAGCGATCAGGTATTCAAAACGAACAAAAATGATTAAAATATTTACTGAAAGAAAGCGAGAAATGCTAGAAAGTCCATTCTGAGCTTTTTATCTCGGCAAGGGAGACGCTGGTCTGGAAATACAATCTTTCTAAAATTGACGGCACAACCGGAGTGGGGC